CTGTCAAGGCGAGCGTCATAACTATTAGACCAAATTCAAATACCACCAGATACACTTCATTACACAATAAGTATATACATATATATACATATATATATATATGCATATATATATGCATATATTAGAACTTGGGACTTAAGTCTATATAGGCCTATTGATAGGTTAAACTAGGGCTCAGTGGTGAATTTGAATCAGGTTTTTATACACCATCATCCTATACCTTATATAGCTTAGGCCTATAAAATATTTACATATACATGTAGGATTTAGTGCATACATATTTAAAATAAAGATTTTTTTTTCTCTTTCGATTCAAATTGAAATCCGAGTAATTGTTGCTTGCTTCCTTCATAAGGTCATGAAAAATCTTTGTCAGAAACTAAGTAGACCGTAATAAATAATTTAAGAATGATATTACAATAAACTTTATGTTTTTGTATTGCATTGTATGATCACTAATTCTCGATAACGTAGGCCTATATCCGTAGGTATTATTATGTCTTATACATTGAGTGCTCTGAAACAACGAATTGGAACTTGTTCAAGAGTTGTATTTAACTTGACGAGGTAACGAAGACAGTGTCTGCTTTTTTGCGAAGACTATCGTCCCACTCAAAACTATAAAAGTTTTTCCCAACAACAAACCTTGGGTGAGAACACTTCTGGCAAAGAAATTATCTTTATTTGGGCGACACCTTCATAAAACTATGAAGCAGGGTGATATTAATTATGAGAAAGAATTATTACAACGACATATAAAGAAGGCTATTGCAAAGGGTAAGAAAGTGTATGCTAAGGAAATTGAAAAGAAATTCAAAAGTGGGGTTATAAAACAAACTTGGAACGGAATGAAATATGTTACTGGGTACAATACAAAATCGTCTTCACCGAGTTGCAATAATAACATTTCAGCTGATGACCTAAACACATATTTATATTAGGTTTGATTGCCTAGCTTCTTTTACACCAAAGACAGAAACGTGTCGACACCTTGCCTAGTAAAATTAAGGATGAGGACAAAATAATGATTTACCAAGAAGCTCCTTAAATAGTCTTTAAAAATGTAAAAACCAAGAAAGCTGCAGGACCCGACGGTGTTTCCGGGAAAATTATAAGATCATGTTTTAAAGAGTTGAGCAACATTTTTACTAATATTTACAAATGATCCATTGATAGTTAAATTATGGAAACTGTCCAACATCATTTCAATTCCAAAAATCAAGAAACCCGTCGTACTAAACGATTACAGGCCTGTGGCTTTGACGGCAGTTCCAATTAAGTGTCTGGAAAAGTTTATTAAGTTGAAACTAACAAATGAGACCTCCAATTTCCTAGACTTGTTTCAATTTGCGTATCGAAAGAGTGGAAGACACAATTGGCACACTCACCCACAAAGTATACGAGCACTTGGATAAGGATCGCTCTTATGCAAGAATCTTAATTTTTGGACTTAAAATCCACATTTAATACTATTCAAACTCAAAAAGTTATCTCCTAATTGATAAGTTAAGTGTTATGTATGTTAACCCAGCTTCAATTCTATGGATTACGGACATTCTTAAAGACTGAGTACAAGTTGTTAATTTCAGTGGTAATGTTTCACGTCCTATGTTGTGTGATATAGGTGCGCCTCATGGTTGCTCATTATCTCCATTACTGTATTCTTTGTACGCTAATGACTTTAGGTCACCCCTTAATAATTAAAAAAAAAATGCTTCCATGTTAAATTCGCAGATGACACTAAGAATAATAATACTGTGGATTATATTGTTTATGTTGATGCCTTAGTGAAATGGTGCTCCAATAATTTCCTCCAGCTGAACGTCTCAAAAAAGAAAGAGCAAAAGAGTTAAATTTACGTGCTGTAGTTGTATGTTAAGGTAGGGCTGCTCCAAGTGTATATGTAATGATTTTTTTTAATTTTACGTTGATGAATTGTATAGCTTACAGTGTGAGACAAATCGTGCAGAGTGGTATTCTGTACTCTGTATTCTGTACAGAGCTTTAGAAAAAAAACATAAACAATATTACAACTTCATCTTTAAAATTAATGTGTGTAGCTTTGAATGTGTAATGATGAAAACGTTCATTGAGCAGTCAATTAACAATGAGGTCAATACACCACTAGGAGAATGAAATGATTTTCCATTTTAATATTTCGAATAATGTGTCAACTTTTGAGGCAGTTAAAAGGGTAAAAAACCTTACCTACAACGAGAACATTCAAACAACTGAAAAACAAGCCTTCCAACTACCAAAAAGTCAAAAGAAGAAATTGAAAAAACAAGAAAAGAAGAAAATAGAAAAAGTTGATCAAGAAAACAAGCATACTGAGAAAGCAAACAAGGCAATCAAAGGAATGCGACCAATCACAGACTTTGCGACAGACAAACAAGAAAAAGCTGTTATTGAATCTGCCTCCGTAGCGAGGCAAAACTTTGCCACTAGCAAAAGAAAGAAACTCACCGAGAGCGGTGAAAAAACGTGGAAAAGAAAGAGAAAAAATCTGATTCTGTAAGTTGAGTCCTTTAGTATTAAGTCCTTAATCATATTTTGAACTGAACTAATTCTAGATGTAAATAATATCTTATCTAATTAAAGAAAATTAAATATAAAAAAATAAATAAATAAAATAAAATAATAATTTTAAAAAAAATGAAAAGAAAACAACATAACAATCCTTTACATTTAGTTTCATTGAATGTCAAAAGACTCAGGGATATTTACAAAAGGAGAAAAATTTTTAAGTGGTTCGATGAACAAAAAGCCGATATCGTTTTCCTACAAGAAACGCATTATGACAAAACATCTGTTAATGTTTATGATTTATTGTGGAAAGGAACATCGTTCCATAGTTTTGGAACAACTAACAGTAGAGGTGTTTCTATTTTATTAAAACCTGAATTAGATATAAAAGATATAAAATGCAAATATATTGACAAAGATGGAAGACTACTTATCATAAATTTAAAATACAAAAAAAATATTTTTAATCTGATAAACGTCTACGCCCCAAATAACTACAAAGAAAGATTATTATTTTTTAAGAAACTAGAAAATAAAATTAACATCCTTTGCAACGGTAAAGATGAGTACACGTTAATGGGTGGTTATATGAACTGTATATTACAATATAAACTTGATCAGAGAAACAGTATAAACCTCAGCTATGACAAATCCCCACTGATGCTAAAAAATTGCATGACCAAACATAATCTTTCCGATATTTGGAGGAAATGCAATAAAAACAAAACACAATTTACATAGAGAAGAAAAAATACGTACAAAAGGTTGGATTTTTGGTGCATATCTAACTCCCTATACAAAAATGGTGAAGTAATAAACACCGATATAAGACCGTCTATCTTTTCAGACCATCAAGCCATATCACTTAGAATTTTAAATGATGAAGAATATACCTTTAATATTTTAAAGTTAATAGAAAACACAATAGAAAATGAATATAATCTTAATCCAGCATTACTTTGGGAATACCTAAAAGTAAAGATTAAAGAATTTTCGTGTAAATATGGTAAAAAAAAAGGGGGGAAAATGAAAATAAAGAAAAATTACATAAAGAAATCATAGAATTAACTAAGCAATTGGATATTGCCTATGATAAGAAAAGAGATAAACTATTAAGAAATAAAATAAACGACTTAGACAATATATACTTATTTGAGGCTAAAGGAGCACAAACTAGATCTAGAATACAGTGGATTGAAAAAGGAGAAAAAAACACAAAGTTTTTTATTGGGCTTGAGAAAAACAATGCGAAAAAGAAACGCATCACATCTGTTTTAAAAAGCAATGGAAATTATACCACAGACACTAAGGAAATTCTTAAAGAACAAGTAAACTTCTTTAAACAACTTTATCAAATAAAAGAAATTCCTGACTCAAACATCCACAAATATATCAACAGCTCCGTCGTCAACACACTGTCATTCGAAGATAAAAATAAATGTGAAGGTCTATTAACACTTGAGGAATGTAAAAATGCAGTTTTTAAAATGTGTTTAAATAAAAGTCCAGGTACAGATGGACTAACAGTAGAATTTTACCGTAAATTTTGGGATGCAATTAGTTGCACAGTGTGTGAAGCCCTTAACTTTAATTATGTAAATGGTAAATTATCAACAACACAACGAAGAGGTATTATAACTTTATTGTATAAAAAAGGCGAGCGAGAAAATTTAGCCAATTGGAGACCAATAACACTTCTAAATGTTGATTACAAAATAGCCGCTCACGTACTTGCAAAGAGAATGCAATCTGTAATAAGTACAGTAATTAACCATGACCAAAAGGGATATATCCATGGAAGATCTGCAGATGAAAGCATTAGATTGATCGAGGACTTACTTGAATATACAGACACTAATAATAAAGAGGGAGCTTTAATTTTTATTGACTTCGAAAAGGCCTTCGACTCTGTAGATAGAAACTTCATGCTCAAGTCTCTAAAATATTTTGGCTTTGGAAAACAATTCATACATATGGTAGAGGTAATGTACACCGATACAGAAAGCTGCTGTATTAATAATGGGTGGACATCAGAGAGTTTTATTATGAATAGCGGGATACGCCAAGGATGTCCTATGTCCTCTTTATTATTTGTTTTAGTTGTAGAGTTAATGGCAATTAACATAAGAAACAACCCTCTGTGTAAAGGCATTAAACTGCCGTCTTCAAACAAGGTTCTGAATACTGCTAAAATAGCACAACTTGCTGATGATACTGTGATCTTTGCAAAGGATGAAAATAGCATAGCTAGTTTCATTAAAGAAATTGAATTGTTTTGTGAAGTGTCAGGTTTGAAACTTAATAAAAAATAAAACGAAAGGTGTGTGGATTGGAAGTAATAAAAATAAGAAAGGTAATGCTTGTGACATCTCGTTCGTTCAAGAACCTATAAAGTTTTTAGGAATATATATAGGATATGATAAACTTACTTGTATTGCAAAAAATTGGGAAAAAAAAGTTTCTAATTTAGAGCACGTTTTAAAAACATGGGAAAAAAGGAATTTGTCCTTTTTTGGGAAAATTACAATTATAAAGACACTTGCTTTATCAAAACTTACTTATAATGCAAGTGTCACTGATATTCCCAAAAACATTATCCATAAGGTTAATAAAATTGTGTATAACTTCTTATGGAGTGGGAAAAAAGCAAAAATAAAACGAGATATAATTATACAAGATATTATGAAAGGAGGCCTAAAAATGATCGATCTCAACTCTGTAATCGATTCCCTTAAATTAAGTTGTGTAAAACGCTTAATAAGTCCTGACCCAGGTAAATGGAAATATATTCCATGCTTTTATATGTTTCCTGTAACATATACATTATGTATGACAGATATGAACTTTGAAAAGCATAGTTCATTAAAAGAGTTGCCTACATTTTATAGGAATATGCTATATGTATGTGTCAAATACAATAATATACATGCTTCGCACCCACAATGTATCTGTGAAGTAAAAAAGCAAAGGCTTTGGGAAAATAAATTTATTCAGTTAAACGGAAAACCTCTTTTTTGTAAAACATGGGTAGAATCAAATTTTAAAATCATGAATGATATAATTGTAAATAACCGACTAATTAAGATTGATGAGATAATTCCAAAATTGTCAAAAACGCCAAACACACTAATAGAATATGTGGCATTAATTAATGCAATTCCGAAAATATGGAAAGAAATTATTTTAAACCAATCTGTTTGTGTATTACATGGTGAAAAAGAATGTCAATCCAACGACACTATTATTTTAAAAAAACAAAAAGTTAAAGATTTTTACTTGTCATTCATTAATGACAAATATATTGTACCAAAAGCTCAAAGTAAATGGGAAACTACTTTACAAATCAACACAATCGATTGGCCACTGTGTTGGAAAAACAAAGTGAATTCAATGATGCATATGAAAAAAATTGCTCGTTTCAACTATAAATTAATACACAGAATCTTACCTACACGATCTAGACTTAAACTTTGGAATATATCGAACAACAATCTTTGTGAGTCTTGCAATATACAGGAGGATGAAGAACATATGTTATTCAAATTGTTATTCAAATGTAAGGATATAGAATTATGTTGGGTAAAACTTTATCGTATGTTACAAATATGCAATTTTGATATAAATGAAAAAATAGAATGGAATAAAATTGTCCAAGGATGCTATGCTGAACGAGCAAATGAAATTCTATCTATTTTTACATTCTGTATCTATAAAGGTAAAGTTAAGTACAGACTCGGACTTGGGAAACAATGTCCTTGGGTTATGTTTTTATTGGAATTAAAGAGTTTAATAAGCTGTGATTTCTTAATTAACAATGAAAAAGCAAAAAAGAAATGGTCAATGATTGACCTTAACAAAATAAAAAAATATTATATTGGTTAAACTTGGTGAAAACAATTCCACCATATTATAGTCTGAAGGGAAACTATTTCGAAAAAATAATGTAGCCTATAAATATTGTATATACACTGTAGTGTTTATAAATACAAGCGAACAAACTTTAAAAAATAGGCTTAAACAAAAGCTTGACCTTTTATTATATCCTTTATTAAAATGACAGAAAAAAATAGAAAAAAATGGCATGGTAATTGTACACCTT